CGAATCCCCCCATGGAATCGGCGAATTCACGCATGTAGAATGCAGAATTTTGAGTTTTTTTTCCAACAATGTGCATCAAATATCAAGAAAACAAGCCTAGGATCTGATACCACTTAAGGGTTTTGAGCATTCTAACACTCCTAAGGTGTACATGCAACCCTAGAAACCTTGGATCTATGTTTTACTAAGATACATGCAAATTTTCTTTTTCCAGGGTTCTTAACCTAACTAGCATGACATGGGGAACTTGAAACATAAAAGCTAGTAGGAAAACATACCTTTCTTGTTGCTTGAATTCCTTTTGAACTTTGTGATCCTAGCACCCCAAATAGGATGCCTCAAGTGTTTCACACAACACCATAACTCTTGGAATAACTTTGAGATAAGTACATTATCACTCAAAATTGGCTAGCCCTCTTGTTCTACACATAGTGCCGATTTTGGTAGCCCATGGGGTCCTTTTATAGTGGTGTCACAAGTAGGGTTACAACATGTAAACCCTAATTGACATGGATTTTAATATTCCATGATCCATGGGTTTATAACCTCCATGGACAATCCATGGAGCACCTTATGGGTTTTAGTCCAATTCAATAAACTATGGATCATTAGCCCACTATATAAAAATGGATGATTTACACAATCAACCTCATATATTTAATTAGTCTCCTTTTGATCACCAAATTAATTCTTGATCAATACTAATTAAATAATATTATTAATATATTAGAGCTTATAATATATCAATAAACCTTAAGTGTCCTTCCACTCATTTTGTCTTTCCAAGTGTCATGATGTCATGTAACCCAAATGGACCATGCCAACCGGGTCGAGTACATTCCAGAAATAGTTATGAACTTAGACACCTAATCCAACACAAGTAGGGGCGAGTGATCGAGTGTGAGTATACTCGAGTGAGTCTCTAATGGTTTTGTGTTGTGTTTCAGAGACATCATGGTAGGTACACACCACAACCCACAGAGCAGTGGAGTCAGCGATGATGAGATTTGCAGGATGATTCATGATGAGGTGGTCGCAGCCATACGAGAGGCTATTCCAAAGATGTTTGAGTCTATTAAGACCACTTTGATCTAGACGTTTTACGTGCGATATGCTGCAGTTACTGAGGCGGTTGTTGTTGTAGCCACCGCAGCTGTCGCTACTGCCAGGCCACAAGGGGTGACTCGTTGTTGTATCGGGAGTTCAGCAACACGAAGCCACCAAAGTTTGATGGGACTCAGGATCCAATTTCTGCGATGAGATAGATCTCTGATATCGAGGGTTGTTTCTACACTTGTTCATGTCCAGAGCACTTAAGAGTATGGTTCGAGCTGAACCAGCTACGCTTGGGAGTGAAGGAATGGTGGAAGTTTTTGATAGCCAATTTTACTCCTACAGAGCATAGTAAATTAACTTGGGAGAGACTTAATTTGATGTTTCAAGATGAGTATGTTCCCCCAATGGAAAGGGAACGGTTAGCTCAAGAGTTTCTGTCTCTCAAGCAGAAGACAGAGGCAATGACAGAGATTGCAAGGATGTTCCACAAGAGGGCGTTATTCTTCCCTGAGCATCTGAGCAGGCACGTATGAGTTGGTATTTGAGCATTCTGAGGAGGGATATTTGGGAGTTCATGTAAAAATCGTCTTATCGTACATTTACTGAGCTTCAGGAAAGTACCCAAAAGAGGGAGATTGAGATGGAGACTCAGGCAATGGAGGAGGCGGAGTCTCACGGGAGAGAAAGGCGGCCGACACAGTTACAATTGGTAGCAAAGTGGACTAAGCCCACTTATTCAAGATCAGAAGTCCAGAAAGGCCACACTTGTGGGAAGTACGACAAGAGTCACGAAGGATCATGTCGAACGGGTATTTGCTACAAATGTGGCAAGGAGGGGCATATGGCGAGGGATTGCCCTAAGGGGTTTGCAGTCTGCTTTCACAGCAACCATACCGGCCATCAGAAGGCCGAGTGCCCCCAGCTGCTTCAGGGATCAGCACATGGATCTGCACATGCTGCTGTACGAGCTACTGAGAGTAGGCCAATGAACATCGAGACACTGTGGGTTTGTAGGAGAGCCTTTTAGTTGACAGCGTAGGAGGTCCGCGCAACACCAAATGTCATGGTTGGTATGTGTTCTTTTACTTATTCTATTTTCACGTTAGAGTTGTGCTTATATTGTGTAGTGTATAGGTACTTTTCTTGTGAGTTTTGTACCTGCCTTGGTGTTATTTGACTCGAGTACGAGTCGATCCTTCGTGTCATTAGCGTTTAGTCGCCACATCAGTATCCGACGCGAGGCATTGAGTCGACCTTTGCGAGTTTCTATAGCCAATGAGGATGCAATGTTTGCTACTGATGTGATCCGGAGGTATGTGCTCGAGATTTTTGGTGTTGAGTTTTCGATAAATCTGGTACCGATCGCGATGGATGATGTCTGTGTCATTGTGAGCACAGACTGGTTGAGTCCATTCAAAGATGTGATCGAATGCAAACGTCAGGTGGTGACCATACGAGACCCTAGTGGGGGAGTGCTTACAGTGTATGGCGAAGGTACTAGATCTGGGTCAGCTTTCTGCTCGGATGCCAAAGCGAGACAAAGTCTATAGTAGGGTTGCATGGGATTTTTAGCATATGTGATGGATACGAGGGTTGCTACCGAGAGACCGAGTTCTATCGTTGAGGTTCCGATAGTGAGTGAGTTTTCGGATGTTTTTTCGAAGGAGTTACCGGGTATGCCTCTCGAGAGGCAAGTGGAGTTCCGAGAGCAGCGCCTATCGCCAAGGCGCCTTATTGCCTTACGCCACCAGAGATGCAGGAGTTATCCTCACAACTCCAAGAGCTGTTGGGAAAGGGATTTATCAGACCGAGTAGCTCGCTGTGGGGAGCATTGATCCTTTTTTTCAAGAAAAAGGATGGTTCACAGAAGATGTGTATTGATTACGGGGTGTTGAACAAGTTGACGGTCAAGAACCGTTATCCACTTCTAAGGATCGAAGATTTGTTCGATCAGTTATAGGGGGCGTCTTGGTTTTCCAAGATCGATTTGAGGTCTGGATATCATCAGATGAGATTCTACGAGGAGGATATACAGAAGACGACCTTTAGGACTCATTATGGGCACTACGAGTTTGTGGTGATGTGTTTCGGGCTTACCAATGCGCCAGAAGCGTTCATAGACCTCATGAACCGGGTGTGCATGCCTATGTTGGATCAATCGGTGATTGTGTTCATCGACGATATCTTAGTTTATTCGAGATCTAGAGAGAAGCATGAGGAGCATCTGAGATAGATTCTTGGGGTTTTAAGGTCGGAGAGGCTTTATGCCAAATTCTCCAAGTGTTATTTCAGGTTACGAGAAGTCCAGTTCTTGGGGCACCTCGTTAATCAGAATGGGATATTGGTTGATCCGGCCAAGATCAAGGCAGTGATGAGATAGGAGGTGCTGAGATCCCCTACCAAGATCAAGAGTTTTCTAGGTTTGGCTGACTGCTATCAGAGAATTATTAGAGATTTCTCCAAGATTGTCGTCCCTCTCACCAGGTTGACTCGGAAATGTGGTACTTTTATTTGGGGTCCCGAGTAGCATGCCTCATTTGAGACTCTTCGCCATAGATTGTGCGAACCCCCGGTGTTAGCCCTCCCCAAGGGGGTGGAGGACTTTGTAGTTTACTGCGATGCATCTATTTCAAGGATGGGTGCGGTGTTGATACAGAGGGGGCACGTGATAGCATACGCATCGAGGAAGTTGAAGCCTCATGAGACGAGATATCCCACCCACGATCTAGAGTAGAGGCTGGTGGTGTTCTCCCTCAAGATCTGACATCACTATATTTTATGGGGTTCGGTGTACCATATACATGGACAACAAGAGCTTGAAGTATCTCATGGATCAGCCCAACCTAAATATGAGACAGAGGAGATGGTTGGATGTAGTGAAAGACTATGACTGTGAGATCCTGTATCATCCGAGTACGGCTAATGTGGTAGCTGACGCCCTGATCCTTAGAGCAGAGAGTGCTCCAACCTGAGATGTGTGTATGAGGATGATGGTGATGACTCCAATCTTAGATACCATTCGAGAGGCCCATATGGAGGTCGTGAGACCGGAGAACCGCAAGAGGGAGCGGGTGATTGGGCAGGTGTTACTACAAGAAAAAGACCCTTTTACGACGTGTAAACCACGAAACTCGTTGATTTATGTTACACAAAAGAGAGTGACATTAAAAAAGTGTCATTTCTTCAATAAATTTAAGGATAGAGGACACTCATTATTGCGTGCCCTTGAATTAGTGTCCAACAAAAAAAATTAAAAACACGGAGGGCACTGTATCTTAAATGTGCGTCCTCTATAAGTGTCACTTTATAATTTTAGTGAATGCGCGTTTAGTAGATACGGGGGAAAATGAAATCCCCAAAATTTTGAAAACCCGCCTTGTTCTTTTCTACATTCTTTCTATCTTTCATCTTCTCAATTGATTCTCCCCTCTTCCTCCTCTCCAATCCACTTATCCACTACTCCTGACCTTACTTGTTAATCGTCTCATCGAATCTTTGCTCTAGTGTCACTATGAATATCAAGAAATTTCAAACCCTAGTCTCCCTCTGAGGTAAAGACAAAAAAAGAAGAAACATGAAGAATGCACCTATCATTTTTACGACTTATGATGTTTCGCAAAGCTTTTGATAAGAACACCGACTCAGATGCTTCTCAAAGCTTTTGATAAGCACCCCGTTAGCTTTGCATACTAGAACATCTCATAATCTTCTGTTTATCCGCCTATGTTTCTTGCAACAAGTGTATTTTTCATTCTCAAAACCTCACTCCATATCTCGATTTGTATGATTTATAGCCCTAATTTCAAGTGCTAGATTTTGCAGATGCTCGTACGCCTTTTTCCGGTCATCCTTATACTTAGGTATTGTTGTTTCTTCCATTGGTCCTTCCGATTGGTCTTCTTCTTCATCACCATCTACTGAAATACTCATTGATTTTGTCAATTATGGCTTCGAATTCAGTTCCATCCAATTCCCCACCAGGTTTGTCATTTGTTCTCTATAAATCCCCCTTTACCACCATTACGCCTGCAGCCACAAACAACCACTCACCACCGTTCGTATGTCCATCACCACCTATATAAATCTCTATTGTTCTCTCTTTTCTCCTCTCTCATCCTAACATCGCCATATAAATATTGAATTGAAATCTTCTACACTTTCTTTTAGGACTTTATCTCCTTAAACCCAGAAAAAGCCTCTATTTCTGGGTTCTTTTAGGAAATTTGTACACCAAATGATAAGAATCATTCTCATAGAAATCCAGATGTATTAAGTGAGAAAATATTGCCCTATTTTTGTCGTTCTGCCATTTTTCATGTTGCTCCAATTGCTAAGTGTACACCAGTTAATTTATGCAAATTGTATATAGGCTTTAGAATCCTACTGGAACATAGAAGACAGCATTTAGTTGGATTTTCTCAGTTTCTTTATGTGAGTTTCTTACCAGTGCATCATGTAATATGATTTCTTATTTATCCATCACTTATTTTCTCGATTGACAGGAGCTATACTATGACCCACATCTTGGTGTATCACCAGTGAATTTTCGTGATGTTTTGTTGCATAGTCAGGCTCTTGAAGGCATAACAATGTATATGGTAAGTAATCCTTAGAAAAGTCTTCTCTAGTATTTGTAATTAATATTCATTTATAAATAGTAAGGCACCTAAAGTCATTTCATGTGAATTTTAATCTTTTTGTTTGTCTTTAGTTCATGATGCATTCTTTGAGTACTATATCAGTTGATTATTTTTGTCGATTCATGGAGTTTAACCACATGTTCACTCTTTTGTCTGACTCAGATTGTTGGAGCACCAAACAAGGAAGAAATCTTGCTACTACATGAGCTATTTGGGTGATATTTCTTACTTCTATGATTCATTTGTTTTTACCCTTTATGTGTGCTGACTTTTGAATAAATGCTTATTGAGAAGGATTTTCTAACATACAAGTTCTTCCGAAACATGATGTGGTTTGAATATCAATCAAATTTAGCTGTTATCTTTACCCTTCTTCTGGATGTAGGTTGTGTCTTACTGGAGGGGGGGAAGTCCATGATGTAATTGTGAACAGGATCCTAGATTTTTCAAAAATCTTTCTCACTTTATGATGATGAAGTGTTGGTAAGGTTGTTATTTAGTCACTTCAAAATTTTCTTTCTACAGGATATGACCAACAATGTTTATACACCAAGACTTTCCTATCTCATGAAAAAAGGAAAGAATTGCTTCAATTTTCTCAACATGTAATTGCTAGGCTGAAATTAAATGAGGACATATTGAGGTTGGTAAGGGATTAGTTTCATGTTGCTTGCATGTATTTGGTTTCAAACTGCCTCACGTACCTTTAGGAATAAGCTTTATTGCATACGTTATACTCTTGGAATCATGGAGAGTGAAATTTTGTGCTTGATTATATGAAACATGTCCAATCAGAGTGCATCTATATATATATATATATATATATATACACACACACACACACATTAGCGTACACTCACTTATGAAGATGTCTTGTCACTTATGATGGTTAAATTAACTATAATCAAGAAAAGGGAACCACTATCATGGCTATAAACTGTCAAACTGAAAACAATGTGAAACCTTTAGATGCTCTGCAAGCTTCATAACAGCGGATTGGACGATTCTAGAGTTGGGAGAGACGGAATCGGGAAGTTCTGGTAAGTACACAGGGACGTAATGGTCATTTTCTTCTCGATGCCGGAAACATGTAAGAACAGATCGACATGATATAAATCTCTGAAATAAATAGAACCAGTAACAAGATTCAGAGTCTAAATGCAACATGCTCTCATTTGCTTGTGTATTTTTATAGAAGTGTATAATAACCTACTTTTACCAGTTTATCGATATGCACGATGAACAGTCACTTTTATTCATTAAGCCTCTGAACTATTATTATAATAATCATAAAAAGCATAGCTAAATTGATAAAATGGTGTTTTATGTATGTTAACATTTTTTGAAAAAAATATTAAATGTTAATAGTTTTGTTATTGTGATATAGAAGACAAATTACCTGAGAATAATCCTTCGCAACAAAGGTTCAGAGAGAACTTGGGCCCACACTAGATCCAGTGTAGTTGTAGTGCAAAGTATTGTTTCCCACTCTGCAAAGGCACCTAAAACAATATTTTCCGCATCTTCCATCAAATCCTGGAAGCATATAATGTGACAAACAAAAATCAAAAACAAATCTTGGAGTTAAACTATGTAAATAGTACCATCATCGGTGAAGTGTTTGTGTTGTAGTTGTGGGTTTGAAAAGTTACTCTAGTTATATGTGTTGCAGGTTATGGTAACCTGCCAGGTGACATGGTATGCTTATCATCTTTCCCCATTATCATAATTTTATTACTGTTTTGTTTTGAATTATAATTGAAGGTTATTTTAGACATTTGAGTAATAATATAATATTGTTCAGGCTTTCTAGGACTATGTTGAGAAAAAGCAACTTGGAGCCACTAAAGTTGAATCGTCAGTAACAAGCGAATGGTCTCCTGATGGACTTTATTTCATGACTGCTACAACAGCTCCAAGGCGACAAATTGACAATGGGTATTATTATTTTTTATAACATTAATTATAATTAAAAAAATCAATTTGCTAATAAAATCTTTCATTACAATTTGTTAACAATCTTAGATTTTAGTCTTTAACAATTTCTATAGGGGCCCAATGGGTCAACATTTCACAAAATCTAATAACATTGCAAGATTGGTCAAAATTCAATAGAACTTTTAAGAATATCAAGGTGCTCTTACATTTAATTTTGTTGAAGTCATATGAAATTTCTTGTTGCGGGTTATAAAAGAACTTGTTTCCCCCATTCGACTTTGTTGTAGGCTGGAGTCGCTTCTTCTTAAAAAAAAAGTTGTAGAACGGTGGGGATACACCAAATGATCATGCTTGTAAAGTAAGATTTTCCCTAATTTCCATTTTGTAAGCTTTCGTTATCAGTTATTGTAGGGTTAGGAACAAAATTGAAGTCCTTATCTTTATGCTTTATGCTTTAGTTATGAATAAGCTAAAGAAAGGCATACAGAGGGGAAAAGATTTGAAGATGAATTACACCTTAAGTTGAGAAGGAAAAAACTTGATATAAATAGTATCTTTTTGTTTTCCACTTTAGAAAAATGTGTTGAAATTGTTTCAAGTGATGGTATTTAGTGTAATCTGGATGTTTATACTACTCTCTAGAACATTAAACAGTTAATTTTTTTTTTTTTTTGGTTTAATGATTATGTAGATGGATAAACTAAAAGTTCTTTCTGAATATCTTCTAAGCTCAACATCTAATTTTGAAAAGCATGTATCGTATAATCGGTAATTAGTTATCTCACTTCTTTTCTCTTTGTATTTATTTATTTATGCAGTCAACACACTACTGATGTTAACTTGTGAAAGTTCATGTAATTCAACGCCATGGAAGTTAAAAGAGGAGGGAATTTCAGTCCAACATAGTTTTCAGGTTGATCGCTGAAAGCGCCACCACCGAATTCTTGTAATTTCACTGCGTGGTTGAAGAAATCGGAAAGGTCTGTGAGGTCGCATTCGTTGATTTTCACTGATAGTAACGATTCGCTACAGTTTTTTGCGATGAGTTCTAGATCTTTGAAATCGAACTTAACCAGATCTGTCATGTAGAAGTTTAACGATTCCATGGTTGTGTTACACAAAGCTAGCTCATGTAACCATTCGCCGCCCTTTTTGATGATTAAGCTCTCTTGTAGATACAAAATTCTCAAATTCTTACACCGCTTACCGATTTGGAGTAATCCGTCTGTTGAAAACCCTGAGCACAAATCAAGCTTCAAAACCCTAAGTTCTTGACCACAGGTTCAGGTTAATAAATCGATATCGGAATCACAAACAATCATTCCTCGGAAATGGATAGATTTCAAGCAATTCAATGAACTCGAGATTTCTCTAACGACCTAATGCTTCATTGTAAATGATCGATTCCACTCCAGTTGGACATTCGATAGGACTATCTTCTCCAAATCGACAAGTCAAGATCAGATTCAGAAGAAAACGACCGACCTAATGCTTCATTGTAGATGTTCCGATGAACTATACTCACATCCTGCCACACTTCGACGACAATTTCAAGATTTGAGATGGGAGGTGTGATGAAGGGTAGAGAGAGAGAGAGAGAGGAGTTGAGGTGATTAAATATCCCTAAAATGTCCCTGGTTTATTTTAATAAGATACCCCCACCCCATTTTATTTTTAGATATTTATGAAAGTGTCACGAAGCATCTTAACCCTCTATTATTTTAATCTAACGGTTATTATTTAGTTATCGGGTTCTTGGGAAACTTTGAGTTCTCAAATGATCATTCCTCTCTCTCTCTCTCTCTCTCTCTCTCTCTCTCTATATATATATATATATATATATATATATATATATATATATATATATATATATATAAGTGATTCGGACACAACAGTTTTTTATCACACACAACAATGTATGCATTATAGAGTTGTATAATACAACATTATAAAGCATCAATTGTTGTGTACAAATCATCTTATATATATATATATATATATATATATATATATATATATATATATATATATATATATATGTTCAGTTTCATTTGAGACCATTCTAATTTTGTGAGATCATGAGACCAAATCTAAAAATAATTTTAAAATGCAAAATAAATGGAAAAATCCAAAAATTCTTTTTTTAAATATTATTTTCGGAACTTGAATTAACTAAAAAAATAAAAAATAATAAAAGAAATCCCGTTTTTTTTTTAAAAATACGTGAAATATTCTAAATAGAATATTACACTGACATATTCTAAAAATTAATTTTAAAATGCAAAATAAATGGAAAAATCTAAAACTTCTTTTTTTTTTTTAAATATTATTTTCGGAACTTGAATTAACTAAAAAAATAAAAAAAAATTAAAAAAAATCCTTTTTTTTTTTTGAAAAATACGTGAAATATTCTAAATAGAATATTACACTGTGCATATTCTAAAAATAATTTTAAAATGCAAAATAAATGGAAAAATAAAAAAAAATTAATATTATTTTTGGAACTTGAATTAACTAAAAAAAATTAAAAAAATAAAAAAATGCGTCTCACGGTCTCACAAAATTAGATCGTCTCTCACATGAACCTAACCTTATATATATATATATATATATATATATATATATATATATATATATATATATATATATATATATATATATATATATATATATATATATATATATATATATATATAATGAGAACACTTCGAGTTAGTGGCATTACCCATCAGAGAGTAGAGTTATAGATTGAATTTACATATACAATCAATATAAATAAAAAAGTAGTAAGTAGTCATCCGATCTCTTTTTTTTGTTCCCCTAGTTACACAAAAATATCTAACATGATATTTAAGTGCTATAATACTTTTCACATCCCGATAATCACGCTCTTGTGCATAAACAACACACGACATACATTTAGATAGACGATTACACATTATACCTTTAAGGGAAGCGCGTATTGCGTTTGTTTGTTTTTAGTTAGTCATGTCGACAATCAACGTGATATACCTATAATTACACCCATCTTAAAGATTTTTATGATCATACGATTGGTATGTTAGATGTCTATATATGCAAAAAGTACTACATTCTAATCCCAAAATAACCAGACCATTCCAAATCGTGTCAGTGATATTATTTACTTTTCCACAATAATATTAACAACACTGTTTTTAAATTTATTGGATAAGAGGAAACAAAAATTTAAGCTCGCTGTTTTTTGGTAGGTGATCTTTGGATCATACCATATTAAACCAAGTTTAGCAACTATATATAAACACTTAGACTCGTTATTAAGCTTATGTATGACAGACTAGCTTAAAAAGTAGCCGTTAGCTAATAAGTTTGTCGATAAAAATAACGTTTTGATAAAAAAAAAATATCAGATAAGTTAGTTGGAATGTATAAAATAACATATAAAGGCATATAGAAAAATCTATTTATTATAATTAATAAAGGATATCTATAGAAAAATCTTATAAAGCTTTATAAGCTAGTTGAAAAGTTTCTTCAAGTAGTTTTTATTTTTTATCTTTAAATAAACTTATAATTTATTTTTTGTTTTGTCAGACGTGACTATCTAAAAAAGATCGAAAAACAAGCTAGTTGTGACACGTTAAACATAACCTAGAAACTTCAAGCATCAACAACTATCATGACAATCGCTAATCTTTCGTTTAAGTCCTTTACATCAATGTTCTGTTTAGACATGCAAATATTTTTATAACATTTATATCATGTATATGTCAATTTATTAGCACTTTTTTAGGCTACAATGAGTGGGCTCGCTAAGAACTCTCGTTAAGCCTCGGTAAGAATTTTGCACACTACCTCTAGCACTTGCTAAGGGAGTCACTAGCTCGCTACCCGTTTGACAAGAGGAGAGAGAGTGTTGAGCTTGCCGATCAAATTCACCTTTTTCCAAATCGAATTTCCTATATTTTATATAATTTTTTTTACCAAATGTGCTAGAAGTGTTACAATTCCCTATAAAATGCTAAGAATTAGGTGTTAAGACAAAAATAGCGTGTCACTCAAAAACATGATGTGACAATGTGTTAGGAGTGTTACTACTCCTTCTAATCTTACTTTCACCCAGTTACATCAATTAATATGTCGTCTTTTGCTTACATGGAGCTTTGGGCTAATGTGGCTTGCTAATAAGATTGTCATGCCATCGATCGCTAATACGTCATTGTAGTTATTTGTATCGAGTTTCTATTTTGACATACAAATATTTTAAAAACAATTATATCATGTATATTGTTAGTGTATGGATAATAGTCTTGTATTTGTATTACTTTTGGCCCATTGTATTTGGTCCTTGATGATGTAAACGTGTCTCTCTCTCTCTCTCTATATATATATATATATATATATATATATATATATATATATATAATATATATATAATATTATATATATATATATATATATATATATATATATATATATAATATATATATATATATATATATATATATATATATATATATATATATATATCTGTGTGTGTGTGTGTGAAAGGTGATCTTGATGGAAAATACCAAGATTACATGGTATCATAAGAGTAACAAACTTCCCTGAAATTTCTTTAAACCTAGGTGTTGCATTGTGTTCTGTCAACTGCCTTCTTCGATTCTTCTTCTTCTTCACCTTTCATTAATCTTTTATCTTTACAATGATTGAATCCTCTTCATCTTCATCATCTTCTACACTTTCCGATAAACCATCATCTACAATAAACATCAAACATGCCGTCCATTAGTACTTGATTTGGATTGTATTAATTACGATATTTGGCATGAGCTTTTTGAGATCCATTGCATTGGATACGAAGTAAAAGATCATCTTCAACCTCCAAAAGAAAATATTCTTACAGACAAAATCGAAGAATAGACACGGTTATATACCATCGTGAAGTCTTGGATGTATGGCACCCTTGAAATCTCCCTTCTTCATCTGATTTTTGAGAAACAAGTGAATGCATATGACGTTTGGCAGAAACTTGAAAAAGTTTTTCGAACCAACAAAGCAATAAGGTAATTCAACTAGATAATGAACTCATGAATATCACCATTGGTACTTCTTTTATTATAGAATATTGTAATCGTATCAGAAACCTTGTTGATATTCTCAATAATATGGATGCAAAAGTTCTTGAACCTAACCTTGTTGCTTACATCTTGAATGGGTTGTCTTCAAAATTTCAAATCTTTGCAATTACAATCTGTCATCGAGATCCTTTGCCCACGTTTAGGGACATCAGACTTATACTCATTTGGGAGGATCAACAATTTATTCAAGAATATAGTCATTACTCTTCTCTTACCCACTCTGATAGTTTCATCCCCTCATGCCCTTACCACTGAATCTTCAAATCAACCACAATCTCGAGGGGTCTATCGTGGGGAATGCAGCGCCGTTTGGAACAAAGGTGGTCACGACATAAAATATCGTGGTCGAAACTTCAACAGCGGCAGAGGAAGTCCTTTTTTTCGGTAAACATTGGTAACGAGGTAGGGGAACTCGTTGGGAATTGGGTTTACGGATAACATTAGGTCAATGCAAATAGTGGAGTCAATTCTTCAAATGGTGGATGAAATAATCTTGGGCTCCTTCCAACCCCTAATTCGATCCGTCACAATAATCAATTTTGGCCAAGAGAACCTTGGGTCCAGCCGAATACAGCCCAACAACACCATTTTTTTGTTCCACATCAAGCTTACCAGATCAGCCACTCTCCTCAACCATTTTCATCGACCAACAACACATATTCAACAAATCTGGAGCCTACCTCTCTTCCTCAAATGTTTATTACTATGTCATTAAATGAACCTAGGCAACATGGCTAGTATATAAACACTGGAGCTACATCTCACGTACACGCCAACGTAGGTATTCTCAAGTCTGTTTCAGATAATCATTTATCTTTTTCATCTATTTTAGTAGGAGGCAGATCTTCTATACCTGTGACCAAGGTTGTAAAAAACGTTTGTCGTTAACTGATCGATGGACTGGGGTTAAGGGATTAATCGTCTAGACGGAGATTAATCGAGGACCACTAACTACTAAGCAAGTTTCTAAGAAGATTCAAAGGTTTTTAGTTGGGTGTTCTTCGTGTTCTTCATGAAAACTAGTGAAATTATCGGGTTTTCAGTGTAGTATAAGAAGATTGAAGGCTGTTCTTGAAATGATAACAAGATCGAGAAATGATACATGTTAGATCTTATGAAGAACTATTGATTATCACGAAATATGATGAGAAATGATGAATTTGGTATGTTCTTGAGGAGAGAGGTTATGCTTGGCTGATGATACTTGAGGGAAAAAGGTTGGAATTTCGTTTAAAAGTGTAAAAATGAAGTAAAAATCAGCTGAAACATATATATATATATATATATATATATATATATATATATATATATATATATATATATAGTACCAATTTATTATTTCACATAATAAATTTTACTCTCTCTTCACTAGTCATCGTGTCAAGTTGCATGAGTGAATGCAACCCAAAAGGATCATCCTTCAATCAAATATAGTACATACCAATTATAGTTATGGGCTTAGACACCTAATCCAACAGTTAGTAGATATTATCAAACTCTTAGGAGACTCATAAGCTTTGAATATTTAAAAGACCTCTGGTTTGTAATATCTTCTTAAACATTTGTTTTGATATCTTTTGTAGCACTCTCGCATGATTTATTGTATTAAACCACTATATGTTTTGGAAATTTTAGTTGGGACCGTCATCCGTATTTGAACTCTATAAAGTATTTTAATTCAACTTTGTAAGTCGAGTTTCTACAAACTAAAACTTTGAAATGATTTTGAAAGATTTTATTAAATGTCAATTCAAATAGCCTCATGCGAGGGCTGTTTAAATGCTTTTCAAGATTCTTCTTTCTCCATAGTTGCCTCATTTTCCTTCATTAATTTCTTAATATCCTTTTCAAGAATAAATACTTCCTCCCTTACGTTTGATTCCCTCCCTCAATGGCAGCTCAAAAAGAACTCCATAATTAAAGCCCAAGCATTCGATTTCTGATCCAAATAAATCAAAATATTAGCAAACATAAAGATGGGAGTTGTTAGAGGCTCTACCATTATCAACATATTTGCCTAAATCATCTTTGCTTTTTTTTTTGCTTGAGGTTTCAGTACCATAAGCTCCTACTACATTATGATGAGATGGGAAGCAAATTCACATAAGATTATCAATAATAAAACAAGATGTTATCCTGGACATTTGGTATCAATTGTAAGCCCTTCATATATGTTGATATCATCACGCCATCAAAAGGACACAAATATGATGACCTTCCATTTACTAGAATATAACAAAAAATAATATAAAGATATGAAGAAGAACAACAAGGACTGTGGTTGCAAAATCACCATAAAGACATAACAATTGTAAATTAAGAAAGTACATGGGGATATTATACTGAGGGTGTAAAAGTACAATCTGATTTCATACACAAATCGTCTGATTTCATATATCAGTTCATACAAATCAATTTGTCAATTGATTTAAGAAAAAATATAAAAGAAATAAAAACGAAAACCAAATGCATACTTGTTGTTGTTGAGGTCGATGTTATCAGAGGCTGAGAAGACATCGATGTTGCAGGAGGGAGTTGCTGATTTCAGGTTGTATGGAAGATGGACTGAAAGAAGGAAGCGTTGTTGGTTATTGTTGAGTAGATGTATATGTTTATGTGTTTTCTTTTAGCGTGTAGAGGCCACAAAGGGAACATTATTTATATATTTATTTATTCATTTATCTTTTTGTGGGAAGGGGGAATGGGGTGTTAGCAACAATTTTGAGTTTAACAGAGTTAATTAGCTATTGTTAATCGAGTCAGCTAATTTGGGGTTCTACCAAACGGTTTAACTGGACCGAATCAGCTAAAATTTGTTGACCAAACCTAGTTAACTTATTATAAACAACCTCTTGGTCTTAGTCTTAGTCTTAATCAATTCCACGTATTATTATTTTAAATGTCTAGGAAGATAAGTAATAAAAAAGTAGGATAATATTTAATTTTTTTAAAATAAAATTGGCGTTCATCATTGTTCTAAAATAAAATAGGTATCTCAATCTCTATAAAATTCGTTTTAAATGGCATTTAATATAAATTTACTATATAAGTCTAAACATTTTGTATAGATTACAGCATCAAATACAAAGAGATTTATTATTATCATATCTATCTGGCGAGTGAGCGAAGTTGTGCAGACACAAACGGAGGGCAGTAGTGGTCGTCTACTTCCCCTGCGCTCCTCCGCCGTCTCCTCCTTCTCTGCCTCCTCCTCTTCCTGTTTTTTTTTCTTATCTGCTTGTATGCCGCTCCGAGTCGAACTCGATACAATCTAATCACACTTCCACATTCATTCCGCTCTTCCCTCCTCGTCTCTTTATCTAGAATTTCATACGTAACGCATACTTGAGACCCACAAACAAGTGTTTCAAGATTCACCAAATTAAACATTGATATTCTTCATTATCTGTCTAGAACTCTCGTTGTTGCTTTACAAATTCAAGAAAATGGATTGTTGGTCTCCTTCGTTGAATGTCGATCAAGAATTTGCCAAGCTTCTAAATCGTATGCATCCACCCAGGTAAGAAAATCTCACTTATCAGCCTCTTCAATTCGATTTAGGGTTTGTCTCCTTTTCAGAATTAACTTAATCGATTCATCTTTTCCTTCTAATTACGCTTCTCCGTCTTCAAATCGTGCATTTGAACAATTTAGCCATTGGTTTTTCCGTACAATGTGCGGCCTGAATCGTTGTAGTTACGTTTGATTTATATGAATCGTTTTTATTCATTCAATTTACGAGGCAATTGCTTGATTTTGATGACCAATTCTTGGCTAAATTTGGGTAATTTCAAGAATTCGCGACTCTTTGTATCTTTCCTGACCAGTTCTGTATATGCGTTTGTAGGGTTACTGTCGATAACATCACAGACAGAAAAGCCACCTTGATTAAGGTATAACTGAATTAATCAACCCAATGTTCTTCAAATACAAAGGAATTCAAAGTTAATGTGAATACTTTCTGTTTATCTGGTAGGTTGACAGTGCCAACAAGCGAGGGAGCTTGTTAGAAGTGGTTCAGGTTTTGACCGATTTGAATATACTAATCAAAAGAGCTTACATTTCTTCAGATGGCGAATGGTTTATGGATGGTAATTCACAACTTTAATGCCTTAAATCCAAATTAAATTTCTCTGATTTTAACAATTTATGACTAAAAAGATGATGTTTCTCAACTTTTTGCAGTATTCCATGTTACTGATCAGTATGGAAACAAGCTGACAGAAGATAATGTTGCTGATCGAATCCAACAGGTAAAAAGATTAAATCTTTCACCATATCCTCTGAATTTTACTTTCTGATTCAAGATTCTTATCATGTTCTTTATTGAATATGTTGCTACTAAAAGCCACACACACGTTCTATCCATTCGTGTGGCTAGCGTTCTCTGCTTTATCTTGTTTTTTTTTTGGGTATAAAAATCAAGAAACAAACTTTTTTTTTCTTTACGTCTTGTGTTGGAATGAAGACAATTTTTCTGAAACACCAAACATAGTACAAAAACCCATGTTATGTTCTTTAATGAAAAAGAGCTGTCATGTCGACTTAGTACTTCTATGTTTACACATTTTTAACCCAAACAAACTTTAGGATTTGAAGTCAAAAAAGTCAAACATTGAATCAAGAATGTTATGTGTTGCAGTCACTTGGCCCAAGAGGGTGCAGTTTCAGATCGTTAAGGGGCTCAGTCGGGGTCCAATCAGCCATGCAACACACCACCATCGAGTTAACCGGGCGTGATCGACCCGGTTTACTTTCTGAAATCTTTGCAGTTCTTTCAGACCTAAAATGCAATGTTGTAGCTGCAGAAATCTGGACTCATAATTCAAGAATGGCGTCAATTGTTTACATAACCGATAACTCGACCCGACTCCCGGTCGAAGATCCCGATCGACTCACTAAAATCAAACACCTTCTTGTGTCCATTTTAAAAGGTGATAAAGATAAACGGGGCGCCCAAACCGCGGTTTCCCTCGGGTCGACCCATACCCAAAGAAGGCTCCATCAATTGATGTATGCAGATAGGGATTATGATCCAGATGGGTCTGATTCTGATCTATCTACAATCTCCAACAATGAGAAACCTTTAGTGACAGTTGAAAACTTTAGTGAAAAAGGGTATACTGTCGTTAATGCAAAGTGTCGCGATAGACCTAAGTTACTGTTTGATGTTGTTTGTACACTGACTGACATGCAATATGTCGTCTTTCATGCCACCATCATCGCCGAAGGAGCTGAAGCTTCTCAGGTATCCTTTTAAATCTTCTAGAAAAACATTAATTTGATCATGGGATTTTGTTTTCTAATTTTTTGCGTTGTTTTAGGAATTTTACATACGACATACAGATGGATGCCCGATTAGTTCCGAAGCCGAGAGACAACGTGTAATTCATTGCCTTGAGGCAGCTATCAAGAGACGAATTTCAGAGGTAAACAAACTTTCTAGCCATTTTTTTTTACTTCCACCTTTTTGGGCGACAAAAAGCTTCAATTTTTGTCAAATACATGTTATGTTATGTCATGTGTAACAAATGTTTATGATATATATACAGGGCGTGAGGCTAGAGCTAAGTGGGGAAGACAGGGTGGGGCTTTTATCGGATGTGACTCGGATCTTTAGAGAAAACGGGCTTTCGGTTACAAGTGCAGAGGTGACAACGAGAGGATCAAAGGCTATAAACACATTCTATGTGATGGATTCATCTGGAGATCAAGTTAAAAGTGAAACAATTGAAGCAGTTCGAAGTGAAATTGGTGAGTGCGTACTTAAAGTGAAGGAAGACAGCGTGTCAATGGTGAAGAATTCGAACTCTAATTCACCCCCAACAGGGAGGTTTTCTTTGAGTCATTTGTTTAGAACTAGATCGGAAAAGTTTCTGTACACTTTGGGACTAATTAGTTCGTGTTCGGAAGTAGCTTAAAGAAATAGAGAAGAGGATGATGTTGTTATATCATATATATATATATATATATATATATATATATATATATATATATATATATATATATATATATATATATATATATATATATATATATATATATATGGTAATTGTTTATATCTTAATTAGGAAGATGATTAAGATAGATTTGGTTATCTTTTTTTTGGATGGATGACAATGGATGTTATGGATTATGGAACCACCGTGATCCGTCGCTTTCTGTGACTGTAAAAGGTGGTGGTGCCACCGTATCAACTATCAACGCCCTGTACGATGGGGACAAACTTATAAGAGACAGTTTACAGCTGTATCAATAGGGGCCCCGTGAAGAGTTGGTCACATGAATAGAATCCTGCATGAGATCTTACTAGATAATCGTGCAAGTAGTCAACAAAAATATCAGCCATCAGATATAAACAGACTTCGTTATATAACATTTGCACAAAGTTTAACAAGTGTTCCAAAAGAAATATCTGAAAGAATGTAGAGTTATTTAGGATGTTGGTTTAAAAAAAGATATATATATAACAATGGTTATGGTCATTGTATTGCAAATTATGATGGTTTAATAGTATTGTTAGTTGTCATGGTTGTTATAGTTCGTGTTTTTGTCAGTTGCCAATTGGCATGTGTATATTAGTTTACGAATTTACAACAACTGATATGTGTATGAATTTACAACGATTATGCATGCTTAGTTCATGTATTGTCGAATTTACAACTGATATGTGTACCAATTAGCAATTAATGTCTCTGAATTAACAATGATATATGCAAATGTTTCTCATTGTGTTCTAGGTGTTTGTGTGTTCGTTTTCTCTAATTTGTTTGCAAATGATATATGTATGATTAGTTTATGAATTTACAACAAGTGTCTTGGTTGTGATATACGTATGCTTAGTTTATGGATGGCCATTTGTTATGATTTTATGCTGTAATTAAGGCATACTTAGTTTATGTATTTCCTAAAGCTAATTTAGTTTACATAAACTAGCCAAAATTCCCATTAAAAAGTTTGACATTGGAATTGTTTTTTGTATTCTAACTCTCGAATTGAGAAAAAAATAAGTTTGAAAATCTTTTTGGATTGTTATGTTTTGCCTAATTTGAGAAAATCCAAACGACTACTAAAAGTAAGAGGTAAATATAAAATTACAAGATTTTGTGTATAAAATGTTTATGGTTCGCTGCTGTCTTTGTTAGGCATGTCAAATCGGGCTATCGTGTCGTGTTTTTGTCTAACACGACACGATGTTGTGTTTTTTTTCACTAACACGAAAACGAACCAATTAAAAAACGACAACACGACACGAAAAAGATAATATTACATAACTATTATTTTATTTAATTCATATTTAATCATATATAACACGATAAAAACGATAAACACGAAAACACAACAAATACATGCTCAATCGTGTCAATTTCGTGTGGATTTGTAAACACGAACACGACACGACACGACATCGTGTTTTTTAAACTTGACACGAACACGACACGAAAACGAATTCGAATTTTGATATCGTCCTGATTTCGTTTCGTGTCGTGTATTTTTGTCGTGTTGTGTCATAAATTGACACCCCTAGTCTTTGTAAACCATGTTGCTGTATTGTAAAACATTTAAAATGTACAAGCTTCATTTTTGTTGGAATGGTTATCAAAAGGGGTATTTAATCAAAATAAATTGTAATTACATATTTGGTCTCTGTGGTTGCCTAAATTCACACATTTGGTCCCTGTGGTTTGATATGGTTTGTCCCTATGGTTCACATTTGTTGCACAGATGGTCCTTGAGGCGTTAGATCTAAAATTTGCCTTTTTTTTTTTTTTCTTAAATATGACTAATTTGCCATTGTATCTTGTAACTAGAACCATTCGTCCTTAAACAGTACTAAGATTGTGTTTGGCTCGTCACAGCTAGCTGATAAACTAGTTTATTTTTCGAACTTTTTTATGTTATCGTGTTTTGTAAATATGACTAAGCTAGCCAAAAAGTAGCTTATAAGCTAGTTTATAACCTAGTTTTTTGAAAAACGACTTAGAATAGCTTTTTAGAAACTTTTTAAAAAAATTTCAAATACACCCCTTAATTAATTATAGAAACACATACTCTTATATGTCTTTTTATGTAAATTTATATATTTCAGCTAGCTTTTCAGTTAGTTTACCAAACGTTATTTTTTATCAGCTAGCTTTTCAGCTATCAACTAGTTTTTTATCTAGTTTTTAAGCTAACAGCTAGTTTTTCAGCTAACAACTAACTTTTCAGCTAGTACGTCAAACATAGCCTAAAAGTAAATTACTGAAATTGTCTCTATGGTTTGGTTAAAATTGCACGTTTCGTCCCTAACTTTTTTTTGCACTCGAATCGTCCCTATGGTTTGATTTTATTACGTTTTTCGTCCCTATGGTTTGGTCAAAATTGTACGTTTTGTCCCTAACTTTATGTATTTAAGGGATGAAAAACGCAACAAAATCAAACCACAGGGGCGATCCGAGTGAAAAAAAAGTTATGGACCAAAGTGCAATTTTGACCAAACT